CTATTTTGATGTGGGATAAGGACATGGGTTGAGGAACCCTAAACCCTTAGGTGTTCAAGGGAGGGAGTACGACAAGTGAAAATTTTGTGAGGAGTAAGTGGGGCAGCTTTTGTGGGAGTTCAGTTAAGGATGTCACATGTCGTTAAAATGGCTTCTCCTCAAAACTCCAATGAGAGATTTGTATACCCCATCATACACCTTACCATTTCCACTAAGGTTCTATTCCTTCTCTCAACTACACCATTTTGTTCAAGAGTATAAGGAATGGTGTACTGATGGATGATCCTATTTTCAATGTACAATATTTTGAAAATGTCATATGAATGTTTTCCCCCTCTATCGGTTATAAGGACTTTAATTTTTAGGTTGGTTTGATTATCTACCTGGGCCTTATATTCTTTAAATTTTTCTAGGGCTTCTGATTTTGCATGAATTAAGTACACATAGCCATATCGAGCGTGATCATCTATAAAAGAGATAAAATATCTTTTTCCACTTTTGGTGGTCATATTCATTGGTCCACACATGTCATTATGAATGATTTCCAATATGCTAGTAGCTCTTTTTGTCCTGGTGGTATTTTTTCTTATTAATTTTCCTTACACACACGACTCGCACACTTTCGATAAATCGCCCTTATAATTTTGAAGAATCCCGTCCCTTTTTAATCTTTCCATTCGTTTGATATTAATGTGTCTTAACCTCATATGCCATAGGGTAGCATCCAATTCATTAGGGGACGAGACATAAGCAACATTCTCTTTTATTTCAATAGTAAATAGCCCATCTACAAATCGTCCAGTCATGATCACATCTTTCCCCTTTTTAACCACCACTTTCTCCCTAATGAAAGTGGTTATGAATCCAACCATAGACATCTTAGAAACCGAAACTAAGCACGTCCTCATATTAGGAGCATAAAGTGTTTGTTTTAAGATCAAGGTGCTTCCACTCTTCAGTTTCAGCTCGAAATCTCAAATTTCAAGAACATCAGTCTTCAGATTTCCTCACATATAAATATGCTGTTTTCTTGGCCCCATGGGAGTGAAAGAACGAAATCATCCGTGGTGTTTGTGACATGGGCCATAGCACCGAAGTCAAGATGCCAAGAGGCTCCCTTGGGGTCAACCAGCATAAACTCAAAAACCACACATGCTAATTCTTTGTTGGTCCCTCTAGATTTGTTAAACTGACAATTATTGACTATGTGGCCCACCTTCTTGCAAATAAAGCAAGTTTGCGTCTCTCTCTTTGCTCCCTTATTTTCAAAATCTCTCCTTTTGAAATATCTTTTCTTTCCAAAATTATTTCTTTCCTATCCCTTCTTAAATTTAAAATAAGATGGAGATTTTACCATATGCGCGGCTTCCCTTGGAGTTGTTGTCAGTAGTTGCCTTGAATTTTTCCTCTCCTCTTCTGCTTTGATTGTAGTGATGAACTCCTCCAGTTTTGGTGCTTTCCTTCTGTCTAAGATGGAAGATATGAAGGTATCCCATGAATTAGAAAGTGAATTCATAAGATGAATCACTTGCATAGGTTCATTAGGTTTCATGCCTATGTCTTCTAGCTCTCTGATTAGAGCATGAAATACGTGCACATGATCTGCAAACTTGGTACCTTCTGTCATCTTTAATTCATTATACCTCCTCATAGCCATGGTTGCTTCATAAGAGAGGGTTCAGAATACTCTCTCACAAGCTTATCATAAATTTCATTTGCAGTATAGATTGACTCATACTCAGAAGCATATGAGTCAGTCATGGCAAATAAAAGAATGTGTTTGCATCTTAGATTCTTCCTCTTCCAATTGGCGTACTCATCGTTACTGACTTGAGATGAGTCGTCAATTGGGCGACGAGGTCGGTCCTCAAAGAGTACCTCATGCAAGTTTTCCACATAGAGCACAAATTTGATTTTTCTTTTTCATGAAAAAAAATTGGTTCCATCAAACCTTTTAGCCTTCAGGATCTCTGAGATGAAGGTACGAGCAGCCATATATTTATATTCTCAAGAAAAAAATAAGAAAAGACTTCTAATGGCAATCAAGTAAAACTAGCTCTGATACCATTGAAATAAAGACTTATGTGATCTTTTGTCGGGAAATACAATATTTTTTTTAATAATAATCATCCCTTATATTTTTTGCAACAAAATCACTCACAGATAGTCTTATTACAAACAACATAAATTCCTCAAAAAAATAAATAGTACATCAATAAAATAAATCTCAACTACTTGATGTCATTCATACAACCTAATAGTGTGCTTGAGAATATAAAATAAAAGAACTAGCAAATAAAAGAAAAGATGCCGGAGATTTCCTCAAACGGGTTTTGTACAACCCGTACCGAGTCACCACATCCAATGGCACGGGATCTACGGTCTAGCATCAATCTCGAACCGGGAGAACTGATTTTGGCCAAACTAGGTAATCACCCTTAAAATCTCTACTAAATTCTAACCCCCAAAATTATCTTAGGTTTCCCTCTTTTTTAACCTTTAGTTTCTCCTAAGATTTAAAGAGGAGAGAGAGTACTACCTAGGATTTTGGAGAGAGAAAGTTAGAGAGGAATATGAAGGAGAGAGAGTGGGGAATGCCCCTCTAAGAGAGAGGTGAGAGAGAGATTATAGGAGAGAGAGAGAGGTTGTGTAGAGATGGGGGGAGAACACCTCGATTTATAGTGAATATTGAGGTTTAGGGTTTCTTAAGGTTTTCTCGTAGTTTGCCTCTTTCATGAGATTGAATTTAGGCCGTTGATCAAGGTGACTTGTAGGGTGAGAGATCTAAGTGATCAATTCCATAAATGGGACACTAACATTATGGAAGGTGCTTGGACTATTATCCCCCTTTCCTTAAACCATTTTTCCATCAATATATTTAAATAAAATAAATATCATGCATTCTATAATATTACATGATCCATCTCACATATTCCATAAGGATATGTCAAATATTATCAAGCAAATAAATACTACCAAATATAAATAAGATAAGGTCAATATTTACTATCTATTCAAATTGACCATATCCCTTTAAAGCAAACTTGCTAGAAAACAAATAAAGCCATGGTCAATATTTTTCTTCCAAGATTTGACCACATGCCACAAATAAAAAATACCATTACTTAAAGACTTGAACATAAAGCAAACAAAGAATCCAAAGGGGTGGTGCGTGCCACCCCTATGTGGCATATGTGGGCCCCACCCATATGCCACACTGTGGGCCCATGTGCACTTTGGGCCCCCATGGAATTCTATAAAAAATTTTAATATTAAATAAAATGAAGTAATATATAATTGAATTTTTACAACTTTGTAAAATCAATAACTGTATTTTTGTAAGTCCAAAAAACATAAATAGAATATTGGGAGATTCATAAAAATTCAACTAATAAAACTAAAATCATTTCAATAATAAAATGAATACAATTTAAATTAATATGATGGGAAAATGATCTATATGAATTTAGGAATTCAATCTGTAATTATGGGGTGATCTACCTTCAACTGTGGACTACAGACGACACTAACTTTATCGAACCGACCTAGTGTTTCTCATGACCCACAGTCCAAGCAAGGGCTCATTAGCGAGTCACCAAAGTCAGGTCAATGAATCAAGGGGTCACAATCCCAGTCTATGGATTATAGGCCCTCCCTTAAAGATGAGTCAAGGTCACTATGACCTGATGCGACCACAGCTCTATGACGCATAGGGGGTATCTCTCGCACATGCATACGCTTCACCCAAAGGTGGATATCTGGCTTTTCCAAATGACCTATCGATATGCATGCCGTGTGATAGAATATGGATGAGGTTTTAACCCCCATCTCAGTAGACCTACCATCACACACAAGGGTCACACAGTCCCTCGGCTCATTCATCCAAGCATAAGCTCCGACCTCATCAAGAGCTAACCTAAAACCCTTCTCGGTTAATTCTTTATGCCCAAGTACCTTTGGTTTTTCAGCAGACTGGCCCAGATCGATAAACACAGTTCGGTGTAAACAAAACATTATTTCCTTAGTATGGTCCTCGAGGGACCACACTTCCACTGAGTTTATGTTTCACTATAAAAAAAGTATTTGAATACACGCTCACTCATAAGGCCTTTAGAGGCCACATAAATCCAACATAGGTGCCTACTTTTAAATCCTTGTGGAGCATGTACACGTGTCCACTTGTCATGTCATGTTTTATTCATTCTTAGCCAATAAACAATAGGGATTGCGTACAATGAGATCCTTTAATTTTGATACATGGAGGTCACAAGTACTTACAACCGTTCGATGTGAAATCTGATAGCCTAGGTGTGTCATAAAGTTCGAGAAAATTTCTTTTGAAGTTTGAGCTTGGTCAATAGAATAAATATAACTATCTAATTTCACATATAATACTCAAGATTAATTGTGATCTCCTTGTAGCAAAGATAAACGGTCTCATTGTTTATATTTCCTAATAAAAAGGATTGTCTGCAATGAGACCATTTACCTTTGATACAAGGATGTCGCAAGTACTTACAACCGTTCGATGTAAAACCTGATAGGCAGGGTGTGTCACAAAGTTTGAGAAAATCCTCTTTTATGCTTGTAAAAAATCACTATTTTAAGCTTGTAAAAAATCTAAGTCGATGTTTATTCGGATCTTGAGGCACCTAAGTTTTTTTTATTTTGGATTCCGAATATCCGAAAATAGGGCAATTTAAGACTTCGAAGGTTCGAAATTTTTATTTCGGACAGGTTCGAAATTTTTATTTGCGACATTGGAGATCTGAAACCCTTTTAGGACCTTGGAGGTCCGAAATTTTTTATTTCGAATCCTAAGGCACCCAAAATAAAACTTTAAAATTAACTATCTAATTTTTTGGTGCATCATCTGAAATTTAGATAGGGTACGTTTGTGAGTTAGCAAGCTGTTGTGCGTGCTGACTCGCACAACCCTCACCCGAAAATAAGTAGTGTTGCTAGGGCATTAGAACGAGACAAAAGTTTGAATCTCAAGAAGATCCTACAGTCGGGAAGATCCCAACGGTTGGGAAGAACCAGGATCCAGGTCGTTAAAATCCCTCTGCCCCCATTTCAAACTTTGAATTCATTTATCCATCGACCCTCTGGCTCTAAGCGAGAGCGACAACCTCCTGCCTAAAGCCTAAAAATGAGCATCTCTCTCTCTCTCTCACTAAATTTTCATTTCTTACAGTTTTTGATCACCCTATCAAGGCATCAGGTATGTCTGTCTGAATTCTTTGTTGAATGATGTCATGGGACCATCCCTGCTCCCTCTCTCTCTGTCTGTGATGATGCTCCATAGAAGCCTGGGATGATGCTCCATAGTTGCATGACTGATGTTTAAAACACCGAATGTGACTCAAGTAGGAAACAGTGGAGTTTTCTTTTTTTGACATCTTTTTTTCTGAGATGGTGAGTGTGATTGGATTTTGCAGGTAATTTTGATAGTGTCTTTGATTCAAGATCACACACCCCATGATCATCAGCAGAGAAATTAGGTTCTGTGGGGGCATGTTTCCTCTTTGCCTACACCTCCTTCAGAGAAGAGAAGAGCAGTGGGGACTCCTATTTCCGATTGCAACATCATTAGGCATGAGAGAGACAGATGGATTAATGTGCACAGTGTGTTAAGATGCAGGTATATGCAATCACCATGTCCACATTCATGGTACTCGCTATAGGAATTCCAGTTCTCCATGTTGATTCCCATTTCAAGATCTGTCTGTGTTCTGTCTCTCTCTTCCTTCAATAGTCCAGTGCTCTATTTTAATCTGTTCGTGTGGGCAGGTTATTTTTACATGATCTTTTAACAATTTTTTTTTCAGGTTGGTCATGTTTGTAAAATAACTACTAATGATCCGATTGTTTTATTACTGTTTAGAATTGTCTACGGGTTTAAATTTATTTCCTATAATGTTGTCAATTTTGACTTTAATGAAAGTATTCTTAATTGGGCTCTTGAAGAACATGATTATGGAACTAAAATTACTTTTACTGATAGTGAATAGGCCTTGAAGGCCTTGAAGCGATGATGAGCTTAGACTATACCTACCTAAAGTTATCTTGTGCAATCAAAGAAGGGAGGTGACTGTTATGCAAAGTAACAGAGTCGATAGGACCTTCATTCTCTGTAAGGTACACTACAAAAGATGGGGGCTTCTTTCTATTAAGGGACTGTTAGTCTGTGTCTTTCCTAGAATTCTGGGTTTCTGATCACGGAGTTACACTAAGAACCACAGTTTTATTGATCTCATTTGCAAAATTTATGGCAGGTTTTTTGCCCCAAATCTCAAGCGCAATGTATGATCATGCTAGCAACACCCATCGTTAATGAAGTCCTCGAAGGTTTTAACTGCACAATATTTGCATATTGGAAAACAGGCACAGGCAAAACTTACAGTCTTCCATGAAAGGGGGAGCTAAAGCTCAGGTTTACATTTAAAGAACTTCTTGCATTACCAATCATATGCACATTGTAAAACTTTTGGGTCTTTATCTATATGTTGATTTATTTCATTATATGGAGGCGAATTACCTATTGAGTCTGGTGTGATTCCAAGAGCAGTTCTCGACACTTTAGACGCACAGAAGGCTAATTACAGTACGATAATAACCTTCTTGGAGCTTTATAATAAAGAAATAATTGATTTATTAGCACCTGAGGAGTATCCTAGATCTCTTGAAAATAAAACAAGGAAGTCAATTTCTGCTATAGAGGATGGAAAGGGCATCGTTGTAGTGAGAGGTATTTATGGTAATCTATTTTATTATAAATACTGAGCATTATAAAGACAAGGAATATGTTGCTGTATGCTAACTTTTGGTTTTCAATCCCTTTATGAAAGGATGCGTGATTAAATATGCCTGTTTTTTAATGCAGCAGTTCCCATTTCATGTTTTCTAGAATTGTGAATGTAAAAGAAGCCTCGTTAGCAGATGAGGAGCTTATTAAATGCGGAAAGCTTAATCTTGTGGACCTGGGAGGATCAAAAAACATTTCCAGTCAGGTGCTCTCGAGGTATGTTATTTGTGTTTTGCATTTATTGAATGGAATAGAAGAACCTACAATGGTGGTTTTTATATATTTTTGCTATTGAGGATGGTTGTCTTTATATTTTATACTAGTTGAGCTTTTTGATTTCTTAATAACGTCAGACATGCTTGTAATGATCTTGATAGATAATATGAACTTGAGTGCATATGAACTTGATTGGTAATATGAACTTAGAGAGACAATATTGTCAGAAATTCATTTCCATAATTTCTTCATTTTGGCATATCCTACTAACAATTCATTGCCAGCAACATTATCCAGATTCCAGAATATTCTTATTCAAAATTTTGTGCCGTAGTATTTTGATATTTAGTATCTATGCTCATTCAAGAGAAACACTAAAGACATCTGTTTATGGACGTCACTCACCCTCCTTTAACTACAAAACTACATAGATTAGAGACTCCTCTACTATTGTGATTCATTTGTCTTCATGGATTTGAAGAAGCACTCTACTAATCCTTTCGGGTAATACCTTGTCATGATCTCCTTAAGTGATCATTATTGTCGGGGCCTTTTCTCAACTATTTGAGGTCGGCTTCTTGAGTGATAGCTCAAACAATTACCAAATCATTTTGTGAAAAAATGACATTCATTTAACAAAGCAAGTTGCACTCATTGCTCATTGTCGTGAAGAAAAGAAGCCTTTGATCCCACGCTTTTCATGATTTGGATCGATCTTCATAAACACATGGTGGATGAGTGTCTAAAGAAGGCAATTAGCAGCCTTCCTCCTCAGGATTTCCTCCTTTCCTACCACTGTGTTATTTTTTTAAACAATGGCAACATCACTAAATTCAAGCTTGCCAAACAAAACCAAAAATAGGAATCAGAGTAGAGAACAATTATAACCACTGTGTTCTTTTTTTAAACAAGGGCAACATTACTAAATTCAAGCTTGCCAGACAACCAAAAATAGGAATGAGAGAAGAGAACAATTATAACCAAAAATAGGAATGAGAGAAGAGAACAATTATAACCAAAAATAGGAATGAGAGAAGAGAACAATTATCCATTATCCAATCCACGGGGCATAATCATATAGGATTACCTCTCTTTGAAAGCACACAATAAATTCCAAATTTATATTTGAGCCCTCTCTAACTCATAACCATCTGTTTTGCCTCCTAACTTAGCTTTGTAACATATCATCCTAGTCATTTTTATCCACTTTTTCTATTAAAAACTGCATTTGAGTTCCTTTTGCTAGACTTTGAGGACTATGCTCTAGCACAGGTGTGGCACAAAAGCTATTCTTTTTATGGAGACATTGCCTCAATATTACCTCCCAAAATCATCCAAAATAGTCTTTATGTCTTTAGGTAAACTGTTTGCCTAATAATTCCCAATAAATTCATCGGCATGTCAGTTTGTGAGACAGCGTTGTGTCGAGGCTTCACCCTCATGACTAGACATTGGTCATGTTGACCTTCTACTGGTTCTTGACTTTTGGCAGCTACTATGGTCGCTACATCCCTCAATCTCTTATGTTACTCCAATGGTATACATCAGATGTTTTCTTACGCTTACTTGACTAGTATGTTAAAAACTTCTAATGGCTTCTTACTAAATTCCTAGGGATGTGTAGGTATGGTAACACTACATGTAATTCAAGAGAACTCTACACTCCATTATAGCTTTCTAGAATTCTTCACTTGTTTCATGTTCTAATTAGAGACCAGAAAATTCATCTAAAATTCTCAACATCCACTACAATTACAGTTTCACTATGAAAGGGTGATGCAAGAAGGGAAGGTGGGAAAGCCTTTGTCTGAACTTTAAACAAGTAAAATTAGTAATCACAGATGATAAAGTTAGCTGTAAATCAAGCCGAGAAGAACTTTCTTTTTTCATAAAATAAATTTCATTCCCATATCTCCCAAAATATAGCATCCAACCTTTTATAAGTCTATGAATCCCTAATTGAACTTGAGATCCAAGTAAACATTTAAGACTCTAAAATACCCCTATAATAATACTAAAATTCTAAAAATACCCTTGTGAGCAGTAACATGTGAACAATAGTTACTGTAAATAGTAATGTGTGAATAGTACTCATAAATAGTTGACCGGCCTTGGTTCTCGTCACGGTTGGGGACCAGGTGGGAGTCCGGCCTGAGAACCCTTTCTTGAAAACCGTGTGCCTGCGTATGTGGGGGCCACGAGTGTGGCATGAACCAATGAAAAAAGAAAGATTTAGGTGACAAGTCGGTACCTACCTCGTGCGGTGGGGTCGGGACACACCCGAGGAAAGCTCCCCGGCCTCTCGGCTAAGTTTGGACCCTACCTCCTTGGTTTGCTGTTAGATGGTGGTTTTGAGGCGATAGGTTTAGGGATGGTTTTAGGAGGTTTGAAGAGGGTTGAGTTTAGGATTAGATAGGGGAATGGCGAAAGAGAAGAATAAGTGAGAGGTAGAGATAAAGAGACAAGAGACAGAAGACGAAAATACCACTAAAAAATCCAGCAGTCTTCTTGTGTTACCTCCCCTAAGAGGTATTATCAGGGACCTACTCAAAAGGTATTAGGCACAGGGCGTAAGTACCCCAGAGGATTCTTAAGGTCGTTAGATATGGACAGGGTGAACCCGACACTAAATACGCCTCAGAAGAGCCTTCTAAAGAGTGGTCAAGATAATGGAAGAGAGGAATAAGTATGAAAGAAAGTGAGGGGAGGGGAGAGAACAGAAAAGAAGAAGGAGAGTGAGGAGAAGAGAGAAAAGATAGAAGAGAGAAAAGATAGAAGAGAGAAGAGGATCACTTACCAATCTGGTAGCCTTCCGACGTTACCTCCTCAAGGGAGGTATCACTGGGAGCGTTACTGAAAAGGTATTAAGCTCAAGGCTTAAGTACCCTGGAGGATTCTTAAGGTCATGAGATATGGACAGGTCGAACCTGACACTAAATATGCCTCTGAAGAGAGAAATGGACTAGGTACTTAGGGGTGAACCAGTGGTTTGAGTTGGGTGGCTAGGTGTGCTCCCATTGGTTCTTGCAAGCTCCTTAAGAGAGAGTGGAAGGTTTAGGGAAGGGAAGGCTGAGGGTGTATGGAGTATGGTATGTATGGGTCTTTGGTGGTCTATGGGCGTTAGTAGTCTATGTGGTTTTGGTGTATGAGGTTTGGTTTATGGGTTGGGGTCTATGGGCCTTTGTTAGTCTATGGTTTTGGTAGTCTATGGGTTTTGGTGCATGGGTTGTGGAGTATATATTTTGGTGCATAGGTTGGGGTGTATGGGATATGGTGTATGGGTTGGGGTAGTCTTTGGGTTTTGGTGTATGGATTGTGGTGTATGGCTTGAGGTGTATGAGTTTTTGATAGTCTATGGACTAAGATGAGGGTAAGTGGGGAGTATGGTCTACTGGGTTCAGGTTGGTAATCCAAGGGTAGTTCTCTCAAGCGTAAAATATTCCCTCTCTTCGCCCTTTGGTACGCAACAAGCACAAAAGCAACTTCTTAATGGGCAACCTTTGATAAAATGCTTTAACCTCCTTACAAAAAGAAGCCCTAGGCTTATATAGAGTCATCCATAAACATTGGTAGATGCCAAGTTAACCTAATTGATTAATATTACATTTAAAATGAATAAAAATAAAATCCCGTTTTTAGGTAAAAATGACTATTTTGAACCTACCTAGAAATGTGGAAATGACAAGTCTATCCCTCCAAAAGGGGCCTTTGCCTTTCGCATGGTTCAGGTCCATTTTTGGCATGTTCAGGCGACGTTCTGAGCGATCCAATGCTGTAGAAGTGTAGATCATCTCGAGGTGATTGTTTTGATATAAGATTTGATACTTGAATCGAACTTTTGTTTGTGGTATCAAAGATTTGACCAAACCCACAAACTTGATATTTTCAATCTTCGATCTAGCATGCCACATCGTGTTTTTTCTCTTCTTTTCTATCACAAATCAAAAGGGAAGTCATTGTGATTGTTTTGCATTGAAAATCCCTTGAGTTGGAGCATGTTTGGGTACTTTTTCATTTATCGAGGTCGTCAGATAATGGAATTCCGACAATCCGAAAAATGTGCCTTCTTGCGAGCTTTTAATAATATGGTGTCTTCTCGGCCTCTATTTTGAGCAAATAATATGTCAAAAAGAAGCCCTCTGAGTTACGATCGTAACGGATATAGCCTTGAGATTGCAACACTTTTAAATCTTGAGATTTGGTTGCCGGAGTGGCGACATATGCTGCATATAAAATTATGTAATTTCATATTTCCAGTCAACTTTATCTTTAGGATTTCTCTTTATCTGGGGATCCCCATCGTGCTTGCCACTCACCAAAACATGCGTCTTGGGAGGGGTCATTCGTCATAAAGAAAGCTTTTCCTAATGGAGCTTATATACTAGTCGATTCTGAAGGAGAGGAAGCTATGCCCCCAATCAATGAGAGATATTTAATGAAGTATTATGCATAGACCACGACCAAAGCCGCAAGGCCCTAAACTGCATGGCATCAGTTCAAGCTATACCCTAAAGCCGCACACATCCTGATGGCATGACGTTAAACTGCATAACACATGGTCTCGAAGGCATGACCTTAAACTTGCCTCCATTGGTTTTGGTGAATGACCTTAACATACACCAACTCGACGGTCATGATGGCATGACCATAAACACGACTCCCTATGATCATAGTGGCATGACCTTAAAACCGCCTCTTCAAAAAGACGGACATGATGAAAACCCGAAAGGGCGTCATCGGTAAAAGAGTCAAAAGAAAAGGAAGAAAAAAAAAAGGAAAAGAAAAAATGATGGGTGTAATAGTATCATTCACTATTACGAGTAAAATATGTAAAGAATAAAGAAAAAAAAAATGGGCACGGTGAAAACCTGCAAGGGCATCATGAGTAAAAATGTAAAAAGGAAGACATGGTGTAAAAACCATGACCAAAAGCGGCATAACAAAAAAAAATTACTGACAGGGTTTTTGTGAAAACCAGAAATAACACATACCCTAAGGTCTTGGATGAAAACCCGAAAGGGCTTTTAAGTCATGCATGATGGAGACCAAACATGCTTTCGTGTGAAGAGGGCTCCAAATTCTTCTCTTACCCCCTTTCTGAGGAGACAAAGGCCGGTCGTGAAATGATGAAAGACAGATGCACACCATAAAGCAGAAAGGCAAACAAGACAAAGACGAAAGAAAGAAGCAAAGAGTCATC